CCCCCCCCCCCCCCCCGAACTTTTTCATTAGGAGCCCTAGGTCCACGAACCCCATTGGTGCAGGAGGCTATCAATCATCTTCTACATATTCGGGCCATTCGAGAGGTCCCATCTAAACAGCGGGGTCACGGCTGTTACTCTCTATTGTTTGTGGTCCCAAAGAGTTTGGGGGGCTGGATGGCAATTCTAGACCTCAAACGTCTGAACAGATCATTGGTTTATCGAAAATTCAAGATGACTACTCTCCAGTCCATTCTGCTCAGCATCAGAGAGAACGATGTCCTGACCTCCATAGATCTCACAGAGGCTTATCTACATATACCAATTAGACCTGCTCACTACAGATATTTTAGATTCTGCTATTGTGATCGGCACTACGAATATGTCGCCATACCATTCGGTCTGGCTTCAGCCCCTAGGACTTTTACCAAGGTCCTTGCGGCCTTGGCTGCCTCACTCAGGATCAAATCTATTCGCTTACAATGTTATCTGGATGATATTTTAATTTTGTCATCTTCCAGACAGCAAGCAAAATTGGATACCAAGATTACTCTGGAGATCCTTCAGGGTCATGGCTTTTCCATAAATTGGGATACAAGCCATTTGATCCCCTCAACTAGGTTAGTTCATTTAGGGGCAGTGATAGATACCGTGGAGGGCAAGGTCTTTCTCTCTCAGGACAGGTTAAACAGTATCCAGTCTTTGGCCAGAAAGATCAGAGCCTTAAAGTGGGTTTCCCTGGCAGTGCTGTCTCAACTGTTAGGGAAACTGATTTCTTGTATTTCCATTGTGCCTTGGGCTCGATTCCATTCTAGAGAGCTGCAATGGTTTCTGCTACCTTTCCAGCCATCCGGAAGAGCCACTTCCAACGTCCGGATAAAGGTACCGCACAATGTTCTCCGATCGCTCCGCTGGTGGTCGGAAAACATGATAAACAAGGGGTGTCCTTTCAAGGAACCTTACAGGGCAACGATCACAACCGATGCCAGCCTGGTAGGATGGGGAGCTCACTTCCAATCCCACACTGCGCAGGGAATTTGGACTATTTCCGAGCAATCACAAAGCATCAACCTGTTGGAGCTGCGAGCAGTTCACCTGACCTTACGCAGCTTCTACCCCTTTTCCAATCACGCCACGTTCTGGTCGTGACATACAATATCACAACCTAGGCCCACGTAAACAGACAGGGGGGTACCCATTCCAAACTTCTGATGCTGGAGACGGCCAATTTGTTCAAAGGGGCTGAGGCCAATCTGTTTTCGCTCAAGGCAGAACACGTAGCAGGGGCCTTAAACACACAAACGGACTGGCTCAGCAAGGCCACGATAGATCAGGCAGAGTGGCGCCTACACCCGTCTGTCTTCCAGGAAGCAGTGCGGAGGTTTGGGCAACCGGTGATCGATCTATTTGCCTCTCCTCTCAACGCCCAATTGCTCCGGTATATTTCAAGGTACCTGACTCAGGGGACGGAGGCCGTCAATGCCCTGCGTTGTCAGTGGCCTCCCGGACTTCTATATGCGTTTCCTCCACTCCCGGTAATACCCAGGTTGATCCAGAAGTTATTGGAGGAACGAGCGGAATTGATATTGGTCACCCCTTACGTGTCCAGGCGAACGTGGTTCGCAGACTTACAGGACCTGTCGAGAGAACAACCTTGGAAAATTCCACCGTCGAAGGTTTTTTTCTCCCAAGGGCCGATACTTCACCTGAACCCACAATGGCTCAGTCTAACCGTATGGAGGTTGAGCGGAGCCGTTTAAGGGCCCAACAGATTTCAGAGGATGCTATTGCCACCATTCAAGCATCCAGACGGTCCTCAACAAATCGTATATATGAGGCCACGTGGTCCGCCTTCTGTCGCTGGTGCTAGGGGTCTAAGATCGACCCAACTGCCCCATCAATACGACAGTTATTGGCCTTTTTACAGGAGGGGTTGACCAAGGGCCTATCTCCAAATACTTTACGCAGACAGGTGGCGGCTTTAGCCTCAGTGATATCCTGGGGTGACCTCTGGTCCATAGCGCACCATCCACATGTCCGCAGCTTTCTTAAGGGTGCTGCAAACTTACGACCTCCTGTAATTCACCGCTATCCCACCTGGGACCTCAACAAGGTGTTAACCGCACTTACAACTGGCCCGTTCGAGACTTTAAGAACCGATAGTCTTAAATTCCTGACATATGAGGTGGCCTTCCTAATTGCAATCACATCAGCAAGGAGGATTTCCAAATTGGCGGCATTGTCAATGAGAAAGGACCTGTGCGTGTTTCATGCAGACAGAGTGATTCTCCGATTGGATCCATCGTTCACTCCTAAAGTAAATTCAGCCTTCCACAGGGCGCAGGAGTTGGTGCCTCCAAATTTTTGTCCGAAACCATCTCATAGACTGGAGCATCAATGGCATCGACTTGACGTTCGAAGAGCCTTAAGCATCTATCTAGACCGCACGGCGGCATTTCGAAAATCTGAGGCTCTATTCCTATCCTCCACTTTAGGGCAAAAGGTGTCGTCGACGACCATTGGTAGATGGTTGAGAGCCACCATAGCTAAAACTTACGAATGCCAGTCCATCTCAGTTCCTAAGGGCATTACAGCCCGCTCAACAAGGAGTGCGGTAACATCAGCAGCATGGGCCACACGGGCTTCCATGGACGAAATTTGCAGAGCGGCAACTTGGGCTTCACCATCTCCCTTTGTCAGAAATTATAAAATTGATGTCTATGCCTCAGCAGACGCTTCATTTGGCAGAAGAGTCCTGCAGAGGGTCCACAGAGTTTAGGAGTGGATTTTGATCCAGACAAGAGTCCCTCCCTAAGGACAGGCCAAGCTTTGGTATGTCCCACTTCTGGATGCTCTGAACAGCTCATGGGAGAAAGGGCATTGGTACTTACCTGATACGCCCATTCTCTGTGAGCTGTGAAGAGCATCCAGCCCCACCCATTTCTTTCCGTCTGGTGGGGTTCCGTTCCGGTCAGGGATCTAGATTAGGTGATGAGTCCCGGACTTTGGCACCCAGTCTTCGCAAAACTGGGGGCGCTGAGGAGGTGTCCCGTGGAGGAGGAGGAGCGTCCCGGAGTTTTAAGCCCAGCCTTTCCAGAAGAGACTCAAGCACCTCCCACTTCTGGATGCTCTTCACAGCTCACAGAGAATGGGCGTATCAGGTAAGTACCAACGCCCTTTTTCTGAAGAGTTGGCTTACAAAATTAGATCTAAATAAGTTCAGTTTATGAAATGTTTTAGGAACTGCACAAAGCTAGAATTGTTTTGATAGTCTACATTTCTGAACCGAAATGCAATTTGTTTTAAACTGACAGTAAATTGTAGGCAATTAATAATTAAACAGCTTTTACTATCAGACAAAATTGTTTGATGTGTAGCCCATGTTTTGTTATAGATTAATAGATAGATCTCAGATATATTCTAGGGTTGTCCTTGGATTTGGGCCCCTTTCCTATGATTGTGACTTTGAACACCATACAGAACTTGCCACAGAATCAAATCATTTATGAAAGCTTTGATAAGGGAAATTTTGATGAGGCAATGCTAAAGGATGCCCTACCCAAGTCTCTAATTTCAAGGGGCAATGTAAGAGCATCTCAAAAAAAAAAATCCAAGAACAAGCTATGATTACTTTGCTCTGTAAAGCTATTTTGGTTTGTTAAGTGCACCATGATCAAATAAACCATGGCCAAGCTTAAGTATTTGTTCCATAAGATATTAAGTGTAGTCCTCACTTAATTATCACAATTGACCCTAGGATTTTGGTCATAAGTCATTGCAGTTAATCATGTCACCACATGACTAGAGTCAATTTTACAACTGCTTTTACAATGGTTATAAAATGAATCACCATAGTCATTAAGCATACTATGTGGTCATTAATTCTAACAAACTGACTTTTTTTTTTTGCCAGAAATTTTTTGGGGGGGAGTCACAAACCACGGTTACATGACCATAGGATAATAGAGCAACCCATCATAAGTGCCCCAAATACGATCAATCAGAATAGAGCTGGAAGGGATTGGAGATATTCCAGTCCAGCCCCCTGCTCATGCCAGAGACCCTGTACTATTTCAGACAAGTACCGGTAACTGTCCTGTCTCTTCCTAAAAAACCTCCAGTGATGAAGCACCCACAACATCTGAAGGCAAAGCCGTTCCATTGGTTGATTGCTCTCACTGTAAGGAAGTTTTTCCTTAATTCCAAGTTGCTCCTCTCCTTGATTAGTTTCCATCCACTGTTTTTTGTCTTGCCTTCTCCTATTTTTGGAAAATAAGTTGACCCCCTCCTCTTTGTGGCAGCCTCTCAAATATTGGAATATTGCTATCATGTCCCCCCTAGTTGTTCTTTTCTCTAGACTAACCAAACCCAAATCCCGCAGCCGTTTTTTGTTTTAGTCTCCAGGCCTTCAATCTTCTTAGTTGCTGCTCTTTGCACTTTTTCCAAAGTCTTTTTTGTAATATGGTGACCAAAACTGGATGCAGTATTCCAAGTGTGGCCTAACTAAGGCTTTCTAAAGTGGTGCTAATACTTCATGTGATTTTGATTCTCTGCCTCTGTTTATACAACCAAGGATTGTATTAGCTTTTTTGGCTGCTGCCGCACACAACCAACTCTAAGCACTCTTAAGTCAGCTTTTTGGATTGGCTAGCATCCTGAGCTGAGAGATAGTGGCTGGCCCAAGGTCACCCAGCTGGCTTTGTGCCCAAGGCAGGATTAGAACTCACTGTTGAGTCATGTTTAAGTGATTGCCCACTAGGACTCCAAGGTCCCTCTCACAGTTACTGTATTTGAGCTAGGTTTTGCCTAATCTGTACTTGTACTTTTGGGTTTTTTTTCTGCCCAGGTTGCAAAACCTTGCTTTACTCCACATTAAATTTCATTTTGTTGGATATGGCCCATTGTTCAAGTCTATCAAGATCTTTTTGGATTCTGAGCTTGACTTCTGGGGTATTGGCTATTCCTGCCAGTTTAGAGTCATCTGCAAATGTGATGAGTTCCCCTTCTATTCCCTCATCTAAGTAATTTATGAAGATATTGAGTACTGAGTCTAAGGCGGAACCTTGTGATATCCCACTGTTTATTTTCCTACATGTAAATGTTAAGGACTACTCGTTGAGTATGGTTTGTGAGCCAATTACAAATCCATCTGGTGGTGATGCTGTCTATCCCACATTTTCCCAGCTTACCAAGAAGTAGGTTGCGGTCTACTTTGTCAAATGCCTTGCTGAAGTCTAAATATACTATGTCCACAGCATTTTGCTGGCCTACTAATTTAATCACGTGACCCAGGAGTACAGCAGTCATATCTTTGTGGATGGATCATAAGTCATTTTTGGGGGGGGGTCAGTCATAACTTCAAACAATTATTAAGCGAGGACTACCATACCAGTCTAGTAGTGAATCCTATCTCGTGGGAAATAATTTACAAAGAAATATGCGCCCTTGATTTGAAAAGACAAATATTCTATTCTCTTTTGCAGAGGTAAAGGACCTCTAAAAAACACATCGGATGTAATCAGTGCAGCAAAGAAAATTGCAGAAGCCGGGTCAAGAATGGATAAACTAGGACGGACAATTGCTGATCATGTAAGCCATAATTGATTTTTTTATGAGTCTTTGATTCACTTTTAATTTTGCAATAGATTTAGGAACTCCAAGATCCACTATTTTGTTTTATGGAGTCTTCCTAAGAATCTTAATTCTGTACCCTTCTCTACGAAGAAGCTTTCCTCATTGCTTGCTCTCAATATTAATGAATTTATATTCTATACTGATACCTTATTTTTCAAATAATTATTGCAAATAAAAACTTACTTAAAACTTCCAGATGTGTGGAATGAATGAAAAAAGAATATTCTGTCATATACAGAGTTTTGCATTTATACCCACTTAATTCAAGGCACTATCATATACATGATAAAAAATTAATCTTGTTTTCTTTCGATGCCATCAGGTCTTTTATTTTTTTATTTCAGAACACAGACTATTTTATTATAGAAAAATATAGTGAGAGACGTGCTGAAAAGAGGACAAGGATTTTCAGTCCACTTCATTTTTTTTTGTCACTGTCACTGTAGGGAAAAGATAATGCATGTATATTGTCTTTGCCAAGAGATCAAACAAGTCATTGTCTATATTTTTAGCAATATAGTAGCTAAAACAATATTAACCCTACCTTGGATTTTCAATATTTATCTGGGATTTTCTCCTTGCATTCTAGAATGTTTATTCTTAAATATTTGACAGTTTCGTTAGATATACAAAATGGACTATTGTTACCTGAATCTTTTAAGGATAAAGACTGATGGAAATTAAATTCCATCTGGTGAATTATTGCAATATGTTCTCTTTGGGGTTGCCCTTGACTATTACTTGGAAACTACAAGTGGTCCAGAATGAAATGCCATTGGGCAATAATGGGTCTGCCTTGAGTCACCACTACTCCTCAAGCTTCACTTACTGCTAATTGGTTTGTAGGTTCATGCCATAAGGTCTGGTTAGTTGAAAGACTGCCTATCCAGCAGTTTCTGTCCATTCTGTAAGATTGGACACAGAGGGTATACTTCCAGTCCCCTCAAGCAAACATGCCATCTGTTGGGACATGAGGATTATGTCTTCTCTGTTGTGATGCCTCTCTCTGGATCAGCCTCCCCACAGAGATCCATATGGTTCCCCCAGTGATGTTTTTTAAAAAAACCCACTGAAAACCTGGCTATGGGTTTGGGTGAGCTTGAGCCCTTCCAGAATTTTATCTGGAATGTTATCAGGAGTAAGCATTCCTTACTCCATATCTCTGGTGCAGTTCTATTCAGAATAGGGCTTAACAAGAAATAAAATGACTAAAATACCGGCTTGTATTTCAATGCAGTTGGAGTGTGCAAAACTCTCTAAAGAATGAAGTATTTTTTTTTCTTTTCCTGTGCACAGTGCCCAGATTCTGCTTGCAAACAAGACCTTCTAGCCTATCTGCAGCGTATTGCTTTATACTGTCACCAGCTGAACATTTGTAGCAAAGTGAAGGCAGAAGTTCAGAATCTTGGAGGAGAACTTGTGGTGTCTGGGGTATGTACATGTGCTAAATGTTTGCTTTGTGCCTTTCTGGATTCAGTTCTTAAACTGTATTTTGCTTCAGTTGTGAAATTCTAGATGTAGAACGTAAAGCTGTTCTTTCAGCATCTTCAAGACCTCTCGAGATTTTTCTCCCAGGATTGGAGACATTTATACTATCTTTTTCCTTCAGAAAGATTGCATGGTCCAAACTGTGGTTTAAACAATCCAGTGCATACATTTCATATGATGAAAATGGCAAACTGAAATAAGAATGGATGGATGGATTTCCAAATTGTACCTTTTGGAAAGAACCTTAAGTCAGTTAAAAAAACCCAACAATTGATAAATTGCACTTCTGTAATTGTTTTCCCATAGGATTATGTTTTAATTTTTCAGTCTTTTTACATTCTGAACTAATTGTTCAACCTCTAAATTGCCATTTGTAGGAATTTGTGTGTCTTCATTGTTTGCAACAATGAAGCTGTTGCAAAATTTCTTTGTTGATGTTTTTGTGGATTTATGCTGAAAGCCTTTGTCTAAGATTAAGCACAGCAGACATAACAATGGCGATTGAAGCTAAAATATTTGACACAATGATGCCCTTGTTCCTTTTTGTGCCAGCGATTCCATAAAATATATAGTATTATTCCATGGCTTAGCTTTTGAAAGCAAGAGCCCATCAAAATGTAATTTGTGACTTAGCACAGGCATCTGGTGTTCAAATAACAAACTCCAATTTTACCATCATTTAAGTTTTAGCCACTGGTAATTCTTTTTCTCTGCTAAGCCCAAGTATCTAGATGTTTTTCTCCCTTCATAGTTAGTTCTCAAGGATAAAGGCACCCTTGGATTCAAACAGAATCCTCTTTTGTAAAGGAACCTGAATCTCAGCTTCCTCTTAGCATTTGTTCTGAGATTCATAAACTTGGAATTCTTGCATCTCTGATATATATGAACTAGGCTATCGATAAACTTCTTATAGCAAACTGTATTTCAGGCACTGTCTCAGACTCAAAGTATTCTCTTTTGTGGATTTGTTTGTTAAGGTGGATAGTGCCATGTCCCTGATCCAGGCTGCCAAGAACCTGATGAATGCTGTGGTACAAACTGTGAAGGCCTCCTACGTGGCCTCCACTAAATACCAGAAGTCTCAGGGGATGGCTTCTCTGAACCTTCCTGCTGTGTCTTGGAAAATGAAAGCTCCTGAGAAGAAGCCCCTAGTCAAGCGAGAGAAACAAGATGAAACCCAGACCAAAATCAAGCGAGCTTCCCAGAAGAAACACGTTAACCCAGTGCAAGCGCTCAGTGAATTCAAAGCCATGGATAGCATTTAATTTGTCATTTCAGTTTTCCTTCCTTCCTTCCTTCCTTCCTTTCCGAATTTCTGCCTTCTGGATTATGTTAAAAGTTTATTTACTTAATATTATGATAAAATCATTTAGACTAAAAAGAAATAAACAGAGTTAGGGAGCATGACAGTTCAACTTTCAATTTGCACGCACGATAATGTTAGTATGAAAATGCTGTCTAGAAATGCTTCTGTGATATTTCTAGCTCCTGTTTTGCATAAAATAAGGCCTGCTTTAAATCTGTTTTATAACCAAAGATAAATTCACAGTAACAATCATCCTTCGCATAGCTGGATCATGTCATTCTGAGGAGAAAATTGAGCCCTCTCAGTATGAACGGGAATCAAACATGTGTTTGTTTCTTTTCTAAAAAGTATATATATGCTGGGTGGATAAAGATAAACTTTGCTATGCTTAATAATTGGGAAAGTGGAAGCGCTAATTGCTACTTAGAACACTAAGACAATAGAAAATGAATTTGAAAAAGTAATATACTGTAGCATTCTTTCTAATTGAAGTAGGTATTGACTTTTTTCCAGCCTGAACACATTGATGCATTTATTCTAAGTAACTCTTGAGGGGAACACACATTAGGGGTATAGATAATACTGAGGGACAAGTTGTAGCTAAATCAGCATTTCTAAGGTAGTTTTCCTTGACTCTTGGGAACTGAAGAAGTCATTATAAAAGGAACTTGATGCGCATTGTGCAGTGTATTAGAACACACAAATTTTTACTTATTTTTGGGATGTGACAATGCTTGGTTACAGGTTACTGATCTTTTTTGCCACAAGACTAATAAAAAATTCTTGTTACCAGTAGGTGCTGCAAAAGTTGCCTGTTTTCCTTCGGCATTCAAATGCAAGTGCATCACTGTGTTATTGTAATAATTGCTAGTCATTTTCCTTAAAGCTTAAAAAGAAATGTAGCAAATTATGTTTATTCAGGCTGCACCCTAGGTATGAATTGTCATAATGGGAGCTCCATGGCATAATTCTTCTGTTTTAAAATTTTTATGGATTTCTGTTTTTATATCTTTTCCAATAAAGTATAAAAACCAGTTGTACTAGTCAGAGTTTTCTTTGGCAGTTGGTAAAATAAGCTTAATCCTATAGTGTACTGACTAATTGGAGTTAACTTTTAAAAGGCCAATAATGGATGACTCATGCCTAATTTTCTTAAATGGTTTTGTTAAAAAGTCAACAAGAGGCCCTGCTTACAAAAATGCACAACAGGCAAAATTGATCTGCTCTTTTGTAACTTTCAGTAGAGAAAAAGACACTCCAGAGTTAATCAGCTGGAGTCATAGCTTCATTTGTTCTAAAGAGTTAGCAATTTCCACAACACATTTTTAAATTAAAGGTGTTTTATGTTACATGGGGGACCTGTTTTATCTATTTGGTTTATTTGGGCAACCCATACAGTTTTGTGATCTCCAAAATGTCATTGGCAATTGAACTGTTAGAGAAAAAAGTGGGATTCAAATTTAAAATTAATAATTCTAGGGGTTAATGACTGAATAATAACAAAAAAAATGAATGTTGGCATTTCAGGGGAAAGCAACATGTGAAAGATCCTAATAACTTAAGAATTCCATTTTTAAATTCTTCCAGATCCAAATAGTGTTCACTTAAATGTACTTATCTTTCATCGGAAGATTATATTTAGAGAAGAAAATAGCTAGTATCAGTGTGGTGCATACTGTATATACTCTTAGTTGTATATGGCAGGGGTCCCCAACCACCGGTCCGTGGACCGGTACCGGTCCGCGGAACAACTCCTACCGGGCCGCTGGCTTGCTGGGCGCCGCCATCTTTTTTTCATAACAAAGTGCTTCCGGTGAGCTTTTCCGGGTAGAAAGCTCACCGGAAGTACGTTTTCATCAAAAAAAGATGGCGGCGCCCAGCTGATGCCGGTACCGGGCCGCGGTGCCCTGCTGATGCCGGTACCGGGCCGCGGTGCCCTGCTGATGCCGGTACCGGGCCGCGGCGTCAAAAAGGTTGGGGATCACTGGTATATGGGCAATAATTCATTGATCTGCAAAGTAGTTGGCTTGGAGGTTCCAGATTGCATCAAATACTGTGACAGTACTTAGGCTTTGGTTGTGTTTTTGACATAATGGATAAAGTGTGCCCAAACTGACAAGAACAGGGCCCTGACTGATAGCAGGAAATGATAAATGTGGTTCAGATATATTAAGGTTAATAACTTAAGTCAAGTTTAATAAAAGTATTTTATGAAAACGTCAATTAACTTGGTTGAAACTCAACATTTGTGGGCCCACTTGTGAGCATATATTGAAGGCTGCAAACTTGAAGCATAGAATGAGTAAACGTTAAAGACCCTGAATGGATGAATCAATCAAATGAAAAGTGCATATGTGAAACTCAGGGAAGGAAAAGAGGTAATAGTAATATAAAAGAAAATACAAATGAATAAGATGTAATAGAACTGAAAGACAATGATCTGGTACAGTGCACAAAGAAATAAAGATGTAGCTTCGGTGTCAAAGAGTTAAAATGTATGTCAGAAACTGAATTTTTGAAGTGCACATTAAAATGATAGGTCACATGTTACAATCCAGAGAATTATAACAAAAGAACTAGGAACTGGTTTTGAAGGCACATTGTGAATGAATGAAATGTGGGTGACATAAAAGAATGAGTGGGAATTGAGAAGGGAATTCGGAAAAAGTGGTTCAGCCACTAGAAGACCGATGCACAAATCTGCTTTAAAAAGATAACATGTTGAAAATATACATTTAAGCATAAGGCTATTTATGTACCTATGATAAATTACTAAATCAGAGCATGAATGATGTTGTTTATGATGAAATATAAAAATGAAAGAACGCAAGGTAAATCAGGGCCAAGAAATGGGGGGATCAAAACATTTCAAACAATTAGAACATGTATTGTCTAATTTGTAATCAATACTGGAGAAATTGGGAGAAGACAGAAAAACAGAATAATCATCTTCCTGGGAAATACTAGAACAACCCAAAAGGCAAGAATTTTCATCCTGAAATTTAAAAAAAAGATTTTAACACTGGCATCCGTCCACGTTCCAAATACAGATATTATATAAAAGTTTCTCCCGGATCTTAATAGGAATTGCAGAGCAGGAAGGAATTATCGTAGGAGATGTGAATGGTGTGCTAGATCCCAAGTTTAGACAAATCATCCCAAAGGGTGGGTGGAACGGGCAGCTCCCAAAAGTAGGTTTTTCGGTATATGGATATATTGGCTTTGGTCAACGCTTGGAGATTAGAATCAGAATAGAACTGGAAGGGACCTTGGAGGTCTTCTAGTCCAACCGCCTTCTCAAGCAGGAGACCAGACACCAGACAAGGGACTGTCCAGTCTCTTAAAAACCTCCAGCGATGAAACACCCACAACTTTTGAAAGCGAGCTGAAAGATAAGAGGCCACAAATTGTTGTTTTTTCAGCACAACACTAAATGTACTCAAAAAGTGATGTGTACTGGATTTCTAAAGCTCTAACCCAGGGGTGTCCAACCTTGGCAACTTTAAGACTTGTGGACTTCAACTCCCAGAGTTCCTCAGCCAGC